TTTACGTGTCACAACCCAACCCAAGAAATATGTCACAACCGTACCCAACGCACTCCTTCGCAAAAAAACAATCGCCATGACAATACAAAATAATCTACGTACAAAGTAATTACTGCTATATAACTACTAATGTTTAGCTTATAACGAGGAAAAACAGTCATTACTCTATCTGTACACATATTACAACAGTTATTAAAAGATATTGAATCAAAATACTTACATTTGACCGTTAAAAAGTAATAAAGGCCTCTGTTAGCGTTAATGTCGCGCGATGGCTGACGAAGTACTGTGAAACACGTTCAGACATTCAAATCGCAAATCTTTCCTCTTGCAACCACCCCAGTTTTCCATATAGTTTCGCAAAAATTGCGACTGTCACAACCGTACCCAATCTATTATCGCCTTTTAAAACATGATCATAGACATGCTTATCATATACAACCCTTCCAAGCATTGCAAACATGCGATGAAGAGTGGCGTGTAACGTTTTGTCGGTGGATTGCTAAAGCATCAGCCAACAATCGAGATTTTTTAAATAATGTAATGTGGAACGATGAATCGTGTTTCACAAGACGTGAGATTGTAAACTTGCATAGTTTACATGTTTGGGTGTATGAAAGCCCCTGCGCAATTCGGCCACGAAACTTCCAACATGAATTTAGTGTCAACGTCTGGGTTGGTGTTTATAATAATCATCTTTTCGGGCCATACTTTTCGCCACCACAACTAACCGCTGCGGCGTTCTTGTAATTTTTGGTAGCTGAACATGCCAATATGTGGGATGACATTAAGGCCTGGTTTCAACTTGATGGTTGTGCAGCTTATAATGGTAGGGTGTTATGAAATTGGCTAAACAAGCATTTTCCTACAAGATTGATTGGTCGTGGTGGACCAGTCGCATGGCCACCACGATCTGCAAATCTTAACGGTTTAGACTGTTTTGTGTGGACATATTTGAAAAGAAAATTGTATGAGACACCTGTTCCCACAAGGGATGAACTTATTAATAGGATTATTAATGCTTGTAATGACATAAGACCGTTCTTAAACACCATTAAGTACTCGATCAGTAATTCGTCGGTTAGAATTATGCAAGCAAAATTTTTTACATTTTCAATAATTTCTTTAATTTTTTTCTTTTATTATTTTGATTAAAAAACATTACTAAACTAAAACGTTAATTAATTTAGCTACTTTGTTTCCATGGCACACATTGTTTTAAATATCATCTCTAGCATTTTGATAAGAGTACCCTTTTTGCTTAAAAAAGTACAGAGAATGAGAATTTTTATTCAAAAAGTATACTGTCAGAAAAGTTATTGTTATTTTAATCCGTAAACAATACGTTACAGAGCGCCCTCTACTTGCTATAGTAGAACGGACTCTATAATCGTCTTTCTCATGCCAAAAAACTTCCGTATACCAAATTTGAATAGAATCGGTTGAAATACACGTGTAATATTAAATAAAAATCAATTTAAACATTTAATTTGAACACCTTGTATCTTCAAAACAAAGCGTTTGTCGACCTATGTCTATATGAAGTTTTTGTGTTAATTTTAAAAGATCTATCGACTGTTAAAGTCCTGCTACAAAAACCTGAAACACCCTGTATAACGACAATTTTATTGTATTATCATTACCCTTAATTGCTTTGAAATGTCCTTTCATAACTGCACATTAATAAAATAAGACAATCGTTCAATTCAGTCAGTGTAGTTACTACAAAATGTCGACAACTCTTGGTTTTTACGTTATAAAAAAAAAATTGCAGAAATATTATTGTTGGCCCTCCAATCACTGGTATATTGGGATCGGGGCAATAATTTTGGTTGTTCTGAATACGATTTGGGTATTTTATCCCTTGCTAGTAGAATTTATGAGTAAGTAATATCTAAAAATTGTGTGTTTAAAAGAAGAGAAATAATTTTCTTTAATTTTGAGATTACCAGGCGAATTTTTCAAAATGTTTATTTCACATGCAATATGTTATGTCGGGAGCTCTAATCATGTCTGGTTGTATCCAAGCATTGCAATATCGTAATAAAATGTTTGAAATGATTAACTTCTTAAGTGATTTTAATCAATTTGGTACTCCGCAAGGATTGGAAGTTGTTGAAAGAAAAATTAAAAATGTATTGAAAATTATCCATTGGAGTGCATACTTCTTTGCATATCTCATAACATATTTTACCTTGTTGGACGATAATTGTGCTACATTTAAAACAATTAAACATTGTTTAATATTGGTTTATTATGTACCATTTCAACTGAAACCGTTGAATATGACTTTATTGTTATTGTTTCAAATATACACAATAGGAATTTTAATGAATATTATATTCGTTACGACAGTGATGTATTGTTATTCGTTGCAATTATTGATTATACGTATTGAACACCTTAATGAGAAGATTGATGGCATAACATTAACCAGAAACAAGGAAAGAAATTTTAGAATGCTCCGGCCTATTATCATGTATCATCAAGATATATTCAGGTATCGTCGTCTTAAAAATGCCTTGGTACACAAATAAATAAATTACTTATTTTAGGATGTTTCAATTCAGTAATGATGTCTACACCAACTTAATTGTGCCTCAAAAACTGTTTGCTTTATGTATTTTAACTCTGTCTACTACATCTTTTTTTATGGTTTAAATATTAATTTAATAATATATTATAATCAATATGATATTTTTTAGGGAAAAGATATAGCAAGTTTAACCACGGCAATAGCAAGTTGGTTTGGATTATTTTTAAGTCATACAATGGGACAAAAACTTACAACGGTGGTATGAATAATGAATAAATAATTTTTAAAAATTTTGAATAATTTTTATTTTATTAGGGTGACAGTGTTGCGAATGCTGTGTATAATTTGAACTGGTGTGATGCAGATGTGGTGACACGGAAACAAGTGTTGACTTTACTTTATTTGAGCCAACATCCATTCACCATACGAGTCCCCTTATTTGGTGAAATGTCCCATGCTGCAGCAGTACAAGTATCTAAATTATTATAATAGTAAAAAAGTAATATAAAGATTTCTTTTAGGAATTAAAGAAGGTCTATCTTTTCATTAATTCATTACTAGCAATAAAGAAAAATAATAATTTTTGAATTTTATTTAAAATTAAAATGGCACCAATCACTTATTGTTATTATTATTAATACTATAAAAAACAACACATGTTAAACATTTAATTAACGTTTAAATGGTTTATTCAACATCAAAAAAATTTAATCACCATAAAATAACATGGCAAAAATAAATGATGAGCAGCGTTACTTAGAATTAGAATTAATTGAAACACATTGTGTAATATATGTATTTTAATTAAATGGATAGACTACTTATTTTTGGCCACTTTTTTCAACTATATCCTTAAGAAATCTTCTTTCATGTTACACCACATACTCTTTTTCTTCTTCATCTTGAAAAATGTTCATGGTCAAGTTGTGTAAAATATTAAAAAAGTCATTGATTTCAAATTATTGGCTTTTATAAAGAAGGATTAGAAGACGGGTTAGAATTGAAAAATAAAACCATTCTTAGCTTATAAGTGTTTGAAGTTAGGTAGCAAATGTTAAGATTCGAGGTTTAAATGTTTTTATACAAAATGTGTTGTTAATGACAAATTTTGCTCCAAAATGATTTAGAATTAGAGAAAAACTTTTTAGGCTTATAAAAAATGTTTATAATCAGGTTATATATGCTCTAATATATGTTCCAAATATTAGCACAAGCAGAGGAAGATAAGCAGATACACATATGTAATATCACAGAATAACTTGCGGTAATGTAATACTAGGGTGCTACACTCTAAGAAGGCTTAGAACGATAATTCTATGTATACTTTTAGAAACGGCAAAAATGTAAAACGGCATCGCCTATCTACCACTTCTACTACATTAAGGATGCGGTAACGCTGGAAAGATATTAACAAGATATTAACTAGGATATTTGAAATTTCTAGAACAACCTCAAAATGCTACGTTTTGTAAGGTTGAGAAATACAAATCCCTTTTCACTACTAGTAATGCGGCAAAATCTGGACGTGATCTAGCGGAAAAAGTGTCAAAAAAGATTTTTGAATTATCTAAAGTAGTCCTAGGCTACTGCACTTCTTGAAGGTTGAGAAATACCGTTTTATCTTTACTGCCAGAAATATCTAAGGATTAAAATAAGTCGTTTCTACATCCCTGCGTCTAATTTGAGAATACAGTGAGTTACAAAAATCTCATAGAAGATATTCCAAATTTCTAATATAATAATAATAATAAAAATAATCTTTATTGAGCGCACAAATACAAAGAATTTTAAAATAAAATCTATAATGATTAAACTAAAAAGAAATATTGTAGAAAATAATAATAAAAGATATAACAAATATATAAAAAAAAAAGAAAACAGTGAAAAAAAATATGGACTAGTTCGGCTGACGCCGTTCTTCCACTAACCCATTAGACATACAATCAAACAATCACACGAGAGTACACCATCTAATTCAAGCAAATATTAAAGTTAATAGTCAAATACCGCAAAACAAACGAGAAAAACACAAACCATACCCCGCCGCTCCTACTCCATCCCTACAAACTCTCTGGACCCTGCATTAGTATTATTTTTATTTCCCTTCTAAACCGCCCCACCGAAGAGCACGTCCCAATCTTTACAATCAACTCCTTAAATATTTTATAAATTTGGTAGGTAAAGCTGTTCTTAAAAAATTCTGTTCTGTGTAAAGGCGGTGTTAGCGTTCCCTTAAATCTTAGATTAAGATTGTGCACATCGGAGCGAAAAAAATTTTTTCTAAACAAGTATGCAGTCTCGACTGCATATTTAACCAGCTTATTTCCGACAGTTTATAACTTACATGATCCCTTCGCCTCAACCCAAACAATAGACGTCAGCATAATTGAAATGTGATAACACTATGCTATCACATAGTAATCGCTTAGTTGCTTTATTTATGTACGCCCGATTGGAATAAATAAGTTTTAGTGAGCCACAGGTCTTCTGCAGGCATTTATTAATGTGCAAATCAAATTTTAAATTTCATCTAATATTACACCTAAGTTTTTCACAGACTTACTAAATACTAACTGCTCGTTGTTAATTTTAATGTTAATTTTGTTTATTAATCGTTGTTTAAGTGATTTTGGGCCAAACAGCATCAGTTCTGTCTTTTGTGGGTTTACGCGTAAGCCATGTCCATCAGAAAGCTGAACCAGTCGTTTCAAATCATCATTAAGTCTGGCACATGCGGCGTCCACCTCCGACTCTGAGAACGAATAGTAAATCTGCGTATCATCCGCATACCAATGGCCTGTGCAATAAAACAGTATATTTTTAAAATGGCTTCTATAGATGTTAAACAATAGAGGGGATAATATTGATCCCTGTGGGCATCCGACTCTTACCAATACAGTATTTCAAAGGCAATAATTTACTGTTACTTGTTGCTCCCTATCTGATAAATAATCTATCAGGAGACTTATTGCTTGTTGACTCAACCCTATATGATTTAGTATTGAAAACAACATTTTGTGATTCATTCTATCAAAGGCTTTAGAATAGTCAAGCAAGCACAGCACAGTTACCTTTCCATTATCAGATGCCCTCAGAATGTCATCCACAATGTTCAACAATGCGGTTGTGCAGCTATGTCCCGACCTGAAGCCAGATTGCACCTCAGGTAATAATTCATTTCTATAAACAAACTCCCTTAATTGCTCACACATAATCTTCTCCAACACCTTGGACAACACCGGTAAGATGCTGATTTGACGTAGGTCAGCAAAGGAATCAGGATTCCTTTTTTTGCAACGGAATCACTTTCGCCTTTTTCCAAACGTTAGGAAATTGACAATTTGATATGCCGGAGTTAACAACATCTTTTATTTGAGGAATTATGTGTGGGAAATAATAGTTGATCATTCTAATGCTTAACACATCAAGTCCTGCAGCATTGCTTCTTATTGAGCGAATAATCCTCTCTATGTCCAAATCAGTGACCAATTCAAAATTAAATGAATCTTTTATAATA